ATCGGGACGCGGGGCGCCCCCGAAGACGGCGTCTCGCCACAGCACTTGGTGCCACTGGGCCTCTGAAATCGCACTGCTGAGAGATGAAGTCTCAGCTGCTACAGTCGATGCGACCACTCGCTTCAAACGCTGGGAGCGCCACGAGAGCAAGCTGACTCTGACTCGGACGTTCTTCCGGATCCCGGCGTCGGCGGCGAGGGCGAGCCGCGCTCCTGGAGCCCCTCCTCGCTTGGCGCCCCCCGGGCCCCCCGCGTCGGACGCTGTCGCAGAAACGAGGGGGCGGGGATCTAGTCCCCAAATTGTCAGCCGCTGCACGGCCGTAGCCTTAAGATACCGACAGATCTTAATCAGCATGGGCTCGTCGGCCACCGTGGGATGAGGCATGGCCGACGCAAGCAAATATGCCCCTCCCGCCACGTCGGGTCGTGACTCTCGAGCGACCGCTGGACCTGTGCAATCGCAGCCCTATAGGAGCTCACCTCGGGGGGGGGAAAGGGCTTCCTCGGGGTGCTCTCGCCTCGACTTGTCGAGGTGCAGACAAGAAAGCTGATCGCGGATATAATCCGGTCCGCATGCTGGCGGAAGTGTCGCCCCCCGTAGTCAGCCTCGGTCTCCTTCCATTTCCCGAAGTGGAACCGTGGCATGAGACGCTCACGGAAGTTCGAACTGAAGCTCTCGCGCCCTGCTACAATCAGATCGTCGACCTCGATGAGCACGAGCCCCTCAAGGGCCCCAAACTTATCACGCTTCAAATGCAGGCAGGGCTCAAGGAGTGACTTGACCAGGCCAACAGACTGGATATAGTCAGTGAGAGTACGGTGCCAGAGTAGCGGTGCATCGTTCAATCCGTAAACTAGGGCCACCAGCTCGATCAGCTGATCGGATCCGAGGGGGGGGCCCTGGCAGGGCTCAACGTAGATCGCTCCGTTGGGGCGCCTTAGCTTCTCACTCTGGCAGAAGGCATTCTTAGCGTCGGCTATGTTGAGAGCCCAGCCAAACGAGGCGACGATCTGCAACGCGATAAGCCCGCTTTCCGTCTGGGGCGCGGGGGCGTAGACGCGGAGCGTCTCGCCGTCCGGATCTTGGTGTCCGTGCACGCGCCACCGTGACTTAGGCGCCGTTTTTTCCCCCGCGCCCTCCACCGGCTTCCGCCTCCTGACCGTGCGGGACGAAAGAATGCGGTCAGGATGGCGTCTCTTTACAGCTCTGGCCTCCTCGGGGGGAAGAACTCGAACCGCTCCTGACGAAAGCGTGGCCTCCCATTCCTTGAGGTCAGAGGCCTCGAAGGCACGGCGCTCCTCCTGAGACAAGTCTTTCCAGCGAACCTCAGCGCCCCTCGGATTCGACCGCGCAGGGGCCTGGGCCAGAAACGAGCCCCCGACAAGGTCGTCGAAGTCGAACAGAAAGGATGCCGGGGAGTAGCCTCCATCAACCTCAGCCCAGCCCCAGATCTCGTCCAGCAAAGCTCGATCTTGCTCGTCGTCGCTCCGATCCCAGGGTCAGACAGGTAATTGTCGAGGCCGACAAACGCCTCGGTTTCGGAGCCGGCGGCCTCCATCAGAACCCCTTCGGACCCGGGGCCCCGCTCTCCGGAGCGACTTCGAGCTCTGGCTCCCGAGTCGCCCTCGCGACCCACAGGGGCAGGGGCGCCAGGTCTGGCTCTGGGCACAGAGATGCTCCGTCCGGAGCCAATGCGAGTCGATCGAGGCAGCTCAGCTAAAGGGGGCGCGCCAGGCAACGCGGGGACCATGTCCAGACTGGGAGTATTCGGCAGGACCGCGGGCTCGTCCCGACCGGCGGCCTCAAATTCCCGGATACCTCGAGCCACGGTCGACACGGGAGAGTTGGCCTCCTCGATCGGGGTGAGGCGGGGTCTCTGAGCGGGAGGCTCGCCGGGGGCCCCCTGGGAATCCGGTGGCCGCGCAGCGGCCCGACGGGGCGTCTCGACGTCAGACAGCGGGGCCGTGCTCGAGCCGGGGGGGGCCAATCGGGACATCGATGGCTCAGAAGGGACCACCGTCGGTGCGGGCCTGGGGGCCTGCATCGCCCGCTCCCCGAGGTCCCGGGACTGCCTCGGAAGCGGAGGGGCGCCCAGAGCCTGGCGCAGGGCGGCGGGCAAGTCGCTCGCCGGCTCTGGAGCCGCAGCTGCGGCTCCACTTGAAACTACTCGGGCCGCTGGGTCAAGCGGCGGCTCTGCCGCAGCCTCTGGAGCATCAGAGGCCTCCGGAGGAGGCGGGCCGTCAGCGGCCGCGTCGACAGCGCCAGATCGCTTCGCCGGATTACGAATTTCATCCCTCAGTCTGTCGAAAGTAGAGCTGTCCAATAACTGCGCTCCAAGAGTCTCAGCCCTCGTGGCCGAGCGAACCTGTTCGGCCGAGCATTCTAAGAGCCGCGTCCGCATGGCGACCCACGCGGCCCCCCCGGGGCCACCAGACTGGAAAACCACAACCCCGGGTCTGGTCCACCTATCTCTCTGCAGCGAATGCGATCTGTTGGGGGAAGTCAAGCGTCGGTAGACGTAGACCCACTGGCCAGGCGAGAACTGCCGGCCCACGTGCTGGCGGGCCGATGCGGCCTCAGCTAACCGAGATCGCGCATCCAGAGAGGCCAGCGCTCGACGAGCTGCCTCTCGAATACTATGTTGGCGAGCAAAGGCGGCGGCTGCAGCGTCGTTGTCGGCAGATCCTGGTTGCGCATCTGCTGATCCAACGAGGTCGAGGCCGTCATCCGACAGCAGACTCCGCGGCATGCGCGGGTTCTCGCCGAACACCAGCTGGGAGGGACTGAAACCACCTCTGTGAGAGCTCCGGGTTTTGGCCGCCACCACCTCGCACAATAGAAGGTCCGTCTCCTCGCGGGAAGTAGGGCTACAACCGAGGGCGGCCTTAGACAGCGCCTCTTTCACCCCCCCCCCGTGTCTCTCGCACTTTCCATTGTGATGTGGGGTGTTGGCAGGGGCAACGTGAACGAATATGCCCAGGTGTTCACATCCCCTCGCGAAAACGGACTCGAACTCGGAGCCCCCGTCGCTCATCAACATCTCGGGAAGACCGAAAGGGCGGACCCACCACCTCCGGAACGCCCCCCCACACTGTCTTCGAAGTATCGTCATCGAGCAGCGCGCACTGTTGAAAGCTTGTGCCGTGGTCGATGACATGTAGCACTGGGGTGCCCTGACCTCCTATCTCGAGGTAGAAAAGGTCGACGGCCACCACCTTGTTAAAATGATAGGTGTGGGGCAGGTGTGCTTTGCGGCGCCACCCCGCTCTGGAGTGCGTCTCGCACTGATCACAGCGAAACTCTTCCTTAACAAACTTCAGCACGTCCAGTCGAGCTCCGGCTATCCTTGGCGCTCGAAAGGAATCTTCGCGCCTGGGGTGCCCAAGATTAACGTGCAGTCTGGCGACCTCATGCTGCGTGTCGGGCGAGAGGGGGGGAGTCGATTGACGCTGCTGCCGATCAGGCACTGGGGCCCGACGAGTCTCAGGCTCGTCCCCGCTGTCTTCCTCGGCCTCCGCAATTCCCTCCACCGCCTGCGCCGGAAAGTTCCCCAGCCCGTCGAAAGATTCCCCTTGGTGGGCCGAGAGCGCCTGCCCCCTGTGATGCCTCCGCGCTGCCAGCTCAACGCCGCAGGCCATCGCGGCGACGAGCGCGTCGGGGTACACCTCAGCTGGACTTGTCCTGGAGGCGCCAATCAAAGGGGTATGCTCATGGGCCCGAGAGCACTGACGGTCACAAGCAGTGAGGAAATCGGCAGAATTGCTCATCAGAACATTGCGCTTCTTGAAAGCCCTGGATGGGGTCCCCGACCACGTCGAGACCGAACTCGCACTGATCGAAACTCAGCTTCAAGACCCCGGACAGAGAGGCCACGACTTGGAACGACTCAAGGTCCCGCGAGCTCGCCACTGAAGGCTGCTCCAGGGCAAAGCATCGACCATGGCTCACCTGATACTCGGCCACGCGAGCGCACAAGTGCATGTATCCAATTCCACGATCCTCAACGATGTTCGGTCTGCTCGGATCCATCTTGCCCCAGTTTGGGGCCCGGGCCTGTGAGAAAGCTTTGCGCTCTGGAGACATCAAAACAAAGAGAGGGGCCTCGGCCTCCAAGACCGCCCACAGCCTAGCCTCGCCCTCGGGGGTGCCGAGGTCAACCCCTAGGAGCGCATCTAGGGCCCCCGCCACTCGGAATCCCCTGCGCCTTAGCTCCGCCGTGACTCGAGGCCGTGAGAAGATCTCTAGGGCCAGGGCTCCTCCTCTACTCTTCTCCAGCTGCTTCAGTTCTTTCCGACGTCGGCCCCGAAGGGCCTTGAGGCCGAGACCGTCTAAGGTCCGGGCAGCTGCGTCGCGAACTCGATGAGGCAGGGTGGCCTGGGGCCTAGTCACTTCCAGGCGCCCGTCTAAGGCGGCAGCCGCGAAGCGGTCGACCTCGACGAGACCGAGTCTGCTTTCCTTCTTCCGTCCGCACAGGTGCTCCTCCTCCAGCTGCTTTCCTCCTGGCTGGTCTCTTTCTTCCTGCTGCTCCTCCTGGCGCTTTTCGCGCCAGAACGTGACGCCGAGGCTACGGGCGTCTGTCGAGTCGAGGCCAGCGACAACATCCCGCGCTCCAATGGTTCCCCAGATTCCGGATGCCCTGACGGTTCCTGTACTGTCCTCAACCTCGACCCAGCGGGCTCCCTCGGGAATCAGGATAGCTGGAGCTCTCCCCCCGCAGGCGTGCAAGGCGAGCGCGGCGAAAAACTTTCGAGTCTCAGGCGCTCCGAGTCGAACCGGCTGCCACTCGAGTTGCTGGGCAACCTCTCGCCCCGAGATCCATGTGCTGCCTACCTTGTCCCAGATCCCCAAAACGTTCCTCGAATCTCTTCTGAAACCTCTGGCTCCTCGATACCTTTTGAAGAAGACATCAAGATCCCGGACAAAAGCGCTCCCTGAATGGACCTCGGACAGGGCAATGTCAGGCCGGCCCTCGCGCGGCATCGTCTCCAGGCACGCGTCGGTCAGCTGCCAGAGCGATCCGCCTGCCCTGGGCTGCCCGCTGCCTCCGAGACCTCCGGCGATGGCGCAGCGCCCGGCTGGGTCAGGCTCGTCGCCACGTGGACGAGGCGGGCCATGTCGGTCTCGGACATCTGCGGGCGACTCATCAGCTGCGTGATCAGCTCGCTCTGTTGCTCCGCGAACTTCTTCATCTCGCCAAGGCCGTCGTCCGCCGCGACCTTCGGATGGCCGGTGGCCTCCTTGAGCTGGCGGTCCTGCTGCGTCGCCATGTCCATGATCCGCTGAAAGCACCGCTCGCTGCTCCTGTGCTGGCTCTCGACCAGCTGGTTCATGTCGAAAAGGGCCTGCTGCATCTCGGCCACCGTCGCGGCCCTCATGCGAGGCGGGGGGTTTGCCCTCTTGGGCAGGGGCGCCCCCGGAGGCGGTGGCTTCCGCGGGGCGTAGCCCTCGCTGATCGGCGCGATGTTCGGGTTTGGGAAAGGGGCCGGCCGAGAGGTCCCGCGCCGAGGCCTGGTGGTGCTCCGGGGTGCCGAGCTTGAGCGGCGGCGCCTTGGGGCGTGGCGGGGCAGTCCAGGGGCCCTCACCTTGGAGGTCGTGATCCTTGATCATCTGCTCGAGCTCCGCCTGCATCCGGGCCTTGGCGGCCTTGTTGATCTCGAGCTTCTCTCTTTCAGCGCCTTCTTCCGCTGCGCATCGGCCTTCTCTTCGTCTGTCTTCTGCCGGCGCGCCGGGCGGCCCTTGCGCTGCAGGCAGTCCGTCCAGTAGCAGTGCTGGTTGCTGCTCGAGTACCTGGCCCACGGCGGATGGACGCAGCCCTCCTGGGTCATCTCCTCCTGGGCGCCCGGGCGCCGAGACACCGCGTCGACCGTGCTGATGCGCGCCCGGCAGAACCACATCGCCTTGAGACGGAGGTGCCTCCAGCGGTGGTCGCTCGCCTCGAGGTGGAGGTGACCCTGCGAGAAGAACTGCCTGTCCACCTCGCTCATCCCTTCGGTGGCCAGCATCTGCTCCATCCGAGCCCGCTCGACCGGGTCGCCCAGCTCCTCCCGGCCTGGGATCTCCGCGTCGTCCTGATCTGGCGTGATCTTCTGGTCCTCTGGGCCCTCGACCGCCGCAATCTGGGCCCTGCGCCGAAGAGAACGAGGGTTGATCGTCATCTTGCCCTTGTTGCGCGAGCCGCCGCTCGCGGTCTTCTTCTTCGGGGGTATCTCCGGGTGCGATGGCGCTGTCGCTGGGTTGGGTCTCACCGATGGCTGGAGCCAAGAGGGGCTCTGGACGAAAGATGGGCGGCTGTTCCCCGAGATCGACTCCGAAAGAGGTGGAGAGAGGAGAGTCGGAGAGAGGTGGGCCTGCGCCGCTGCGGCCGCTGCAATCCTGGGCCCTCGCGCCAGTCCCTGAAGGCGACCCTGCAGAGGAGCGAGGGCGAAGGTCCTGGTCAACCGTGAAGTCGCTGACCTGAAACCGCTGCCGGAGGGCCGGGTGCAGCGCGAACTTGTCGGGGGACCTGTGCGCGAGCGCCGCGGAGCGGTGGCCGGCGGGGTGCGCGAACAGCTGGCGCTTCACCCAGTCGCCGTCCTCGTCCACCGTCATCGCGTCACTCTTCAGGTCGATCGAGGCCCCGAGCGTCGTCAACAGTCTGGCTGGGAGCAAAGGCGGACAGGCGTGGGGAAGCACCAGGAACTCCACGATGCCGCGTCCAGCGATCGTTATCGGGACCCACGCCTTGGCGACGGGAGTCCTCCGGCCACCGATGCCGGACGCCGTGATACCGTCCGCGGGAGTCCAGTCGACCTTGACCCTGTAGCCCAAGTCCTTCATCTCCTCCGTCAGCACCTCCAGGTCCGGCTTGCCGATGAGCGCCTGAGCCGCCGCCGTATCCACTAGGGCGTGGGCTCCTGCGCTTCTGAGGCCGAAGAAATTGGCCACGGCCTCGGCGTCCGGGCGCTCGCGCAAAAGTCGAGCCCACCTCTGAACCAATTGCGCTCGTCGCTCTCGTCGAAAACCTTCGGTCGCAAAGGTGCCTGCTGAGCCGAAGTCGCCCTCATTCTCGAAGAAGAACGTGGGCCCGTTGCCGCTTCCTGTCGCCTTTTTGCCCTGTCCCTTCTCGGCCGTCATCCTGTCGCTCTTGGGCCGGAACGGTTTCTTGCAGGTGTCGGCCCAGTGGCCCTTCTCGCCGCAGTTGGCGCACCTGGAGCGTTTCTTCAAGTCCGTCGTCACCGGTCTCTTGAAGCCTAGGCGCGCTCTCTTGCGGTCGCAGAAATCGCGATCCACCCGTTTGGCCATCTTGAGCTTGCGCGACTCCTTCCACGTCCTGCGGCGCTCCTTGCCGCAGCGCTCCTCGACCACCGCGGCCAGCACGTCGATCACCTCCTCCTCGTCCAGGTCCTGCCCATCGAGCATCTCGAGGAAGGCCTCCGCCTCTTCGACAGGCAGCTCTGCTTCGTCCCTTAGATCGTCGTCGTAGAAGACCTGCACGTCGACGGGCTCGCTCTCCCAGTATGTTCTGACCGGGGGCGGGGGGGCCGAAAGGAGAACGTTCTTCTCCGTCGCGTCCATTTGGAGGGGGGTCTGTCGAATAGACGCGAAGCCTGTCCTCCCCATCGCGAGAGTCCTCATGTTCAACTTGTTCTGACTCGACAACGCCGCGCCCTCCTCCAGGCACCTCGCCTTCAGCCCGTCGGGCAGGGGTAGTCCGTGAGTCTCGGCCTCAGCCACTTGAGCGTCGCGTCGGAGAACATAGTCGGTCAATGTCTCACCTCTGTCAATCATGTAGTCGAACAGCGCTCTATTCTGGGCCTCCCGGGCCCTGTCTCCTGGTCGTTCGCCGTTGAGCACTGCCAAGTGATCGAGCATTTTCTTCACTCCGTCCTCCACGTCCAGAGTGTCTCTGATCACCTTGAACTTTAGCTGAATCTCGGTCGGGAGAGACTCAACTATCTTGGAGGCTTGGTGTCTCGGCTCATGTCCAGTGCGTCCCGACCAGGATGTAACGTTCTGCCGAAACAATTCCAAGTGTTCGAAACCTAGCCAGCTTGGTGGTGGACCAAAATCCTTGCTGCGACTGTAGGAGCCCCCGCTCCAGTCGGCGCTGGCCGACCACCAGTCTCCCCATCCTCTGGTCCACCACCACGAGTTCGAATCCCAGCGATCACCGCCGGTGTAGTCCCCTCCATCCACCTCGAAGGTCAACGCGTCCTTATGACGCTGTCCCTCGTCCCACCACTGTGTGTCCGTGGCAGCGTCGGCGGTCTTGGGCCCCATCAGGTTCTGCGCTCTCGTGTCGCCGGCGCCTGTCTCATCGCTGCCTCTCGCTCTTCCCTCACCATCGCCGTGATCTCCCTCAACCATCGCTCCGCTTACCAACTGTCTTAAGTCAGACGGGCGAGGGTGCTGGGGATAGGGATCTCTTTGAGCTGGAACGGGGCAGTAGGGACGGCGCACGGGACGCCAAGGGCGTCCCTGCACATCTAAGCCAGAGGCTGCGGGAACACAGAGGACAAGAGGGGAAGGACGGAGAGGACGCGGAGAGGAAACAGGGAACAGCTGGACCCACCAGCAGCCCTCGAAAGTGGCGACAATTTCGCAGATCGCAGCCCCCGCAGGGACGGTGAAGTCTTCCTCAGGTCTGCGCGGAACCTCACTCCGCTGGACCCACCAGCAGCCCTCGAACGTGGCGACAATTTCGCAGATCGCAGCCCCCCAGGGACGGCGAGGTCTATCTCAGGTCTGCGCGGTGCCTCACTCCGCTGGGCCCACCAGCAGCCCTCGAAAGTGGCGACAATTTCGCAGATCGCAGCCCCCCCAGGACGGCGACGTCTACCTCAGGTCTGCGCGGTGCCTCACTCCGCTGGACCCACCATCAGTCCTCGAACGTGGCGACAGTTTCGCAGATCGCAGCCCCCCCAGGACGGCGACGTCTACCTCAGGTCTGCGCGGTGCCTCACTCCGCTGGGCCCACCAGCAGCCCTCGAACGTGGCGACAGTTTCGCAGATCGCAGCCTCCCCAGGGACGGCGAGGTCTACCTCAAGTCTGCGCGGTGCCTCACTCCGCTGGGCCCACCAGCAGCCCTCGAACGTGGCGGCAATTTCGCAGATCGCAGCCCCCCCCAGGGACGGCGAGGTCTACCTCATGTTTGCGCGGTGCCTCACTAGCAGCCCTCGAACGTGGCGACAATTTCGCAGATCGCACCCCCCCAAGGACGGTGAGATCTATCTCAGGTCTGCGCGGTGCCCAATCAGCCCTCGAACGTCGACAGTATCGCACCCCCCCCCTACCAGGTCCGCGCACTGGCAGCAGGTCTCGCAGGGGGCGAGGGGGGACAGAAGGCGGGAGGCAGGAGGCGGGAGGAGGAGGAGGAGGAGGACGCGACCGCAGTGTTCTATTCAAAACGAACACCCAACCAAATAGGGTTGGGAATCCATACGCTCAAATCCCAAGATTCCCAATCTTTTCCCACATTTTCTGGGTTTTCGTCTTCCCCCCCACTTCCCATAGTTTCCCATATTGTCCGGGGGATCGACGATTAATCGTGTCTGTGTGTTTTTTTCCCCTCCTGATATTCGGCTTTATTCCACTGATGATTACCTCGGATCCTCCAGATGCCGACCGAACGAATCCATCGCCTGCCAGCGCACAGCCTCACCTGGTGCATCGACCTGGTTGCAGCCACGTCCGCACGGAGGCCCGCGGGTTCATCTCCTGCCACACTCTCCTTCGCTCGTTCCCCGTGTATTCAGTAGAGGCGTCCTGGATGGGGTCCGGGAAGATGGGGTCGGAGGATCGCGCCGCATCGCCAATGCATCGCCGATGCATCGCCGATGCGTCGGCGACGTTGGCGTGGAGAAGATCGGGCTCCACATCGCGCCGCATCGCCGATGCATCAGCGATGCGGAGCCATCCTTGGACCTCATATACTCGGACCCCACTTGGGAGGCCTGGATTCAAGGATGGTGCGCTGGCTGGGACAGCTAAGTTAACGAGGGAAAACCTTCGTGTGGTTGACCTCTTTCGGAAACGTGGCGTCCACGCATAGTCTCAGCTGAGCCAGGGCACTGCTCCACCCCAAGACGGCTTGATACAGCAGGAGCTCGACCACAAGAAACCCTCCACACGAAACTAAACCCTGAGACCCCAAGACGTCCGCTGATTTGTTGTGGGCATGTCACGCTTTCCAACACAAACTCACCGAAACTCAAGAATCCCAGGGCACCCTGGAGGCAAGCAGGGTGTTCCTTGGCATGGGTCTCCACTGTAATCGCTTTGCGCAAAGACAAACGCACGGGGGCAGAAGCGACAACAGACCCAGACCTCCCGGGAGCAACAAGGCAACAAGGGGGACCTCCGACGCAAGTCACTCCAGACCGCTCCACGTTCGGAGAACTTTTCGGAGGAACGCACTTTCTACCTTGTACGAGCAGTGGGGAGCATCCTCGAACCCCATACACTCGAAGATACAAGAAAGCGTCCGCCCCATCCCTCCCCCCCGACAAACGAATTGTCCAACTGGGGCACGCGAATCCGTGTACAATTCGACGGAACGATCGAGCACCACATTAGCTCTGACAGTATATATCTGATCTTGAGACCGTGCTTCGTTGCGTTACATTCGCAGGGGCGATCGGCCAAATGACAACACATGACAGACAACGGCTCGGTACAACCAACCAAATCACTGTTATGAGCCATGCCCAGGAAAAAACAAGCGGACAGCTGGCACAAGCATGTGCACATAACACCAGGATATGCTGGCTCCGAACGGGCCTTCCCAAACGTACTTGAAGCCCTGGGTACGTTTCGATCTCGAAGTTACAGACGGCACGACGGGAGGGGGGGAGTGGGGATGAGCAATTCGATACGCCATGGCTCGAATAGGGGATTGACTACATAACTGATTCGCCCCGACATGGATTGTCTCGTCGAGTCATACGTAAACTGTTTGCATATGTACGAACAGGTTCCTCGTCACGGGTTCGACGAAACAATCAAATGTGGTGTACATCAATTATGTAGACGATCACCGATTCGAATGGCATGTCTCGGCCTCAACGCCTCGAACCCAGTGGGCCAACATCTGCAACGGCGGCTCCCCTCCGACGACCGGCGCGCTTCTCCCTTTTTTTCCCCGCGGTCACAGCACAGCGGGTCAAGCGCGGAGGCTCGACGTCCCCTGCATGGGCGAGGCCATTGAGTTTTTCAATGGCCTCTGAG